CCCCCCCTGCCACTTCCATCCCCCCCCCCCGGTGACAGATCATGGGATTCTTTGACCAGTCCCAGACCATCTCCTCCTGGGTGTCACTCGAGTGCAGCCTGGTGGGGGTGGGGCCGCGCCCCTCCATCACCCGCTTCATCATCTTGCTGCTCATGCCGGGTGAGTGGTCCCTTGTGGGTTTGCAGTGGTGCATTGACACACCCACCCAATTGCGTTTCCCCCATTAATTCTACCCAGTTTCAACCAATGTCTCGACTGTCGGCCCCTGGTGCAAATCTGCGTGTTGTGTTGCGTCGAGACCCCTGGGAATAGTGCTGAGCTGTGTTGCTGAGCGTCAGCTTACCCACAACGGCTGCTTCCACTTTACAAACTACTCCAGAATGGATTGCCACGAACGGCCGCCTCAATTGCCTGCCAGGGTCGCGTCACCTCAAGGCCCCCTTGCCACCTATGCCACCCATGCCCCTTCTCCCCCCGCAGCCGCCGCCTGCCTTGTGAGCCTGCTCGGCTGGGCCGCCATCGCCGCCGTGGCCGCCCTGCGCCAGCGCCGCCCGGGGTCCCTGGGCGCAGCGCGTCACCGGGTGACGTGGGGTCACTACGGCCCGCGGGTCCTGATGACGTGCATCATGGTGGCCTTCTACCTGTACCCCCAGGTCAGCGGGGCGCCGCCTCCGCCGCGCTCGCCTGCTAGCAGCGAGTGTTGCTTGGTGCGTCTCATACGCCATAAGCCATCCAACCCCAAAGCCGGCCAGAGATCCCTCGTGCAAAGCTCCCGCCCGCAAAACCCCGCAATCATCATCCGCCGCTGCCCTCGCACCCAGCGCGGAATCAAACACCACTTGCCCCCCCCCTCCACCCGCCCCCACCGGCCTGCTTTCAGGTGTCCGACGCAGTTGTGACTATCCTGGCGGCCTGCACCCCAGTGGACAGGCCCTCAGCAGTCAGCAAAGTCTACCTCCCGCCCCCCGGCTTCCCCTCGCCCGGCGGGGACGCGCTCGCGGCCCTCAAAGCCGTCGGGACGTACTGGAATTACGACACCAGCCAGACGTGCTTCGAGGGGCCGATGCGGGTGCTGCTGGGCATGGGTGTCGCGTGGGCGGTGGCCTTCTGCGCGGGGTTCCCGCTCATCATGATTTTTGTGCTTTGGAGGAACAGGGAACGACTCGGGGAGGACCAGGTGCGGGTAGGGGCGAGGGGGAGGGCGGCGGCCCCGAGCGCCGCGGCTGCATCGGGTTGCAGGGCGCTACGCCTGCGCTGTTGCACCTGGGGCGGGGGGGGGCGCAGTACCGCGAATCTGACAGGGCAGCGCGCGTGGGAGGCATCGCGTGTTTCAAAGCCCGGCCGCACGCACGCGGACTGTGCTGCGCGCTGGTCCACGCCAGCCAAGCCTCCCTCCCCCCCTTTCGCACCGCCGCCCGAGCGGCCTCTGCCCAACACGATCAAACCCCCTTACTCACTCCACGGCGTCTGCCGTCACCACTCCGTCACCACGATGACGTAATCCCGCCAGACGGACCTCACGTACGGCTTCTTCTACGACTCGTACCGCCGCGGTTACTACTACTGGGAATCCGTACTGCTCCTGGAGAAGCTGGTGCTCACCCTCGCCCTCACCGTCACCGCGCGGTTCGGCGCCGCCGCCCAAGTCCTGGCGGGTCACTGCGTAATCTTCATCGCGCTGATGCTGCAGTCAAAGTGCCGCCCCTACGGCTGCCAGATGCTGGATAGCCTGCAGGGCGCCAGCCTGTACGCGCTGGTGGGAAGCTGCTTCGCCCTCATGATGCCAGCCCTAGGTGAGCCGGCGGGACGTGGTAGTGGGGCGGGGCTGTTGTTATGTGAGGGCGTGCTGCGTGTATGTGTGTGGGAGGAAGAGTGTGTGTGCGTGCGCATGTGGTGTGTGCGAGGCTGGTTGTGTGTGCAAGGGGGGGACGTGCTTGCATGCCCGCCTCAGACTGGGAGGCGCGCCACTCAACATTTGCGCGTTGCAACGACGCTTGAGAAGGGCTTATTGCAGCGCGCCGCAGCAGCAGAGCACGCTAGGCCTTGGCGCCGCGCGAGCAGCGCGGCGCTCAAACAGCGGATGGTCCCCATCCGCGGCGCGGCCCCAGTGCGGCAGCCGCGAACTGCACTTGCACCGCACGCCGCGCGTCCAGCCCTCCGCCATGTTGCCCGCCTGCCCCAGGCCTATGTGCCCTGCCCGCCAGCGGCACCTCTCAAATCTTACAACATTGATTCAAAGTTCTCCACCCCTCGGCCCCGCAGACTCGATCATGGCGGGCGAGGCGCTCGCGTCGCAGTCTCACGCGGTGGTCTACGCGTCCCTCGCGATAGCCGGCGTCCTGAACGTGGGCGTCGTGCTGCTGTTCCTGTTCGCCCTGTATTTGGAGGGCCGCCGCATGTTCGTCAGCGTGCTGGACGCTGACGGCGACGGCCGAGTGGCGCTCTGGGAGGTCCGCGAGTGGGTGGCTGCCCGCCTCCCCCCGTGGCTGACGCGGCGCGCCGCGGCGACGTGCGGCGCGGCGGGGCTGGCGGGGCGGCGGGAGGCGGAGCGGGAGCGGGGCCCCGCGCCAGAGTGATGCACGGACGGCGCCAGGGTCTGGAAGACGGGGGGGTTGGGGCTTTCGTCAGCGTACGGTAGTTGCGCGTGCGTGTGGTGTGATGGCCTCGCACCCCCCAGTTATGAACCTGCCGCCCCGCAGCCCGTCTCTGGGTGAGGCGCGCTGGAGCGGGCTGGTCTAGTTGTCTTGTCTAGCGCTCCCGTGGCGCCAAACATGTATCCTGGCTGTGGCCAATGCATCGCTCTGCACCACGCGGCACCACGATCGGGGCTGCATACTCTGTCATGCCGGTGCTTACTACCTGGGCAGCCCGTTTTTTCAACGTCTCTAGACTGTGTCGACGACTGCCAACAACGTGAACACGAACATCCCTGCTGCAAATAAATCCGTTGGGTGGCGTTCCATGTTTTATTGCCCTGTCATTGTTTAGAGTCGCGGGCCTGCCGCTCCCACGGCTGCCCAGCAACCTCGACGAATGAAGGCAGGCTGCACGCTCTGCCAGCCTGCCTGGGCCCACCACCATTCGCGCGGCCGCAGCACCGCGGGCGCCCAGGCAGCTCGGGGGCTCGGTGCTGGCTGCAAAACCTGCTGGCTGCATATCGCCTTTGCGCGTTTCGCGAGCCTTTACGCCCGCTCTCTTCGCCACAGGGGCCGGCAGGGGAGGCGCGGGCGGGGCCGGGAAACCCCAGCCTGCAAAGCATCACCACTTGAAAAAATCAATACCTCGACCCATACTTTCCCATCTTACGCGTTGAGCTATTTGGCCAACCTCAAGGCATGCCACGTTGACCGCTGACATGCGCTCGCGTACAGTGGCGCGTGCGTGATTGACGTTTGGTGGAGTCGCCTGCAAATGGGTCTATGGCCCAACAACGAACCAAATGCATGCACGTACTGCGCTCCATCCAGTGTAGAGTCATCTGAATTCATCCAAACGATGGGTTGGGTCTGGCATGGTGCAGAGGACAGGAGGAAGGGGACGGCGGGCAGGAAGCAAGGGACGGCCAGTTCGACCTGTCTAGAGCAATGGGGGATCAGGGCTTGCCCCACTCGGATGAATCGCAGGGTGGGAGTCTGCGCGGCGCCCACCGCGCATCCTCCGTATGCGTGACAGGCCCGCTCCCCTGTTTCTGCGCGTTTCCCCCTTTTCAGGAAGGGAGCGGGTGCATCCGGCCCGTTGAACGCTATAACCTCTCGCGTGACTCTCACTGCAGCTGACGCTGTCGGCTCAGACTGCTTCTTGAACATCAGCTAGTTTGGCCAGGGCTCCGCGCCCTCAGTGCTTGGCTCTGTACGGCTGTTTGCGCCTGCGGTCCCTTTCGGCGTGGGTGGTGGGCCCCCCTGCGCGCCGCCCCCTTTGCAGGTCTCCGTCCAGAAGCAGCGTTGAAGGCCACTCATCAGCTTGGGTTCATCCTGACGCCTCGTCCCTGTCACAGATCCATCCGCAACATGGAGTATCTGTACCAGAATCTGTGACGTGCTCTGAATAAAGTTTGGTCCTGCGCCCGGTCCCCCCTAGTACGGGTGACGACTCGACCCTGCAGCAGTCACCGTGCAGTTGCCTCCCTACCGCCGACCCCCCCGGCGCTCAAGCCGCAGCCAACCACGCGCACTTGCACTTGGGATTGCTGAAACTTTCTCGTAGGCAGACGTGGGTTTAGCACAGACACTCTCAGGAGGTGTTTTCCGGCCATCCAGCAAGCACGGCCACGACCCCGACCGAGGACGGCCACGCCCTACCAAGGACTCGCACGTGGCAAAGCTGTTGAAAGCGCACGAAGGTGTGCATGCATCGACATCGCTTGGCTCGCATTCCCGGATTTTGTCGCGTTTCCCTCCAGTAATCCAGCTCAGCACCTGGGTGTGTTGCCTCATTGACGGGATGAATACGAGCATCAAGCCGTCATCACGCGCACACTCGCGGACCGGCTGCTTTTGCGCAGCCCGCCGGACCGCCGGAGCCAACCGTCACCCCGCCGATTTTGGGCCCGTGTGCCAAAACGGCATGCGCGGCCATCGCGGCCAGGCTGGCTTGCCAACCTTCCTTGCCCTTGTTCTTACCAAACCAACGCCCGACACAGGTTACAGCGCAGCCACCCCATCGAAGGGCATCCCTGCTGCGCGCGCGTGTGCAGTTGGGAACAGATGACGACGAGGGAGCCGCCCCGCGGCCTTGCCGCGGCCCGCCTCGCGGCTGCCAACGCGGGCGACGTTGCCGGCACGTGCGGCGCCCTCAAAATGCCTCGGGCTCTGGACACCGCGGCGCGGCTCGCGCTCGCCCTCGCGGTTTCCGCGCTCATCGCCGCGCTGCTGCCGCCGCTGCTGCGCGCCCTGACGGCCCGCCTCCGCCGCGCGGGCCTGCTGCCGCCCGCCGCGGCCCCGGCGCGCGCGCCGCCCCCGCCGCTGCGGCGCGCCGTGGTGCTGCAGATGCTGCACCGCGGCTGTACGATAGAGCTGACAGCAGCGGAGGCCTTCCTGCTGACCGCGATTTGTGAAGGCCTCGAGGCCTCCCGCCGCGCGCTGCGCGCGTGCGTGGGCGCCGCGGGCACGCGCGCGCTCGTCGAGGCGTGCTGGCGGAAGGGGGCCGGGTGGTGCGTCTGCAGGCGGCCGCCGGACGGCGACTGGCTTTTCGGCGACGACGACTGAGCGGCGCTGCACAGCGCGTTGGCGCTCCGCGCCCGACCGTCCTGCACATCGCCCTCGTCAGCAGCCCCGCTTCGACGCCGGCGCCCCGCGAGCCGCAGCGGCGTTTTTCGAGCGGCCGTCGCTGGCCGCTGGCCGCTCGCAGCCGCACGCCGTCGCCGCCGCCAGCCGGCGGCGGGCAAGACGCCCTGTGTACCTTCAACTCTCCCCTTTGTGTGCGCCGACAGAGCGTCGCTCTCGCGTTCAAACTTGGTCAAACTACCCAGGCTCAGGACGCACGACCCAAAGACCCCTTTTTTGTACATAGGGACGTCGTTTCGCGGCCTGGAACGGCCTGTTTTTGCACTTGTCCGCTGCCGGGCTCCTCTTTCTCGTTCGCGCCGGCGTCCGCACCAGATAACTGGGCGTCACTTGGCGGGCCGTCGCAGCCCTTTGCTGCGCAGCGCCCCGCGTCTCTAGTCCAGGCCCGCCCCGCCCCGCGCACCCACGCCCCTTCTTTTTTTGGCAGTCAGGGGTGCAGCGCGCCTTTGAGCGTGCATACACGGCCTTCCTTCCCACGCAAGCACGCGATGGCGCAGGCGTGCCTCGTCACCAGACCACCCCACCTCCCGCCGCGGCGGGTGCTCACTTAAAAGCCACTTGCGGCCGCTGCGACGCCGGCCCCCAGGCGCCTGCCCACCCTGTGGGCGACGCCGGCCCACCCAGCTCTGTGCGCAGCCGGCCCAGCACGAACAGCCCCCGCCCTCGCCTCTCCGTTTGATGCGCCCAGTCGGGCATGCACGCTGTGGACAAGGCCGCGCCTGCGCCCGCCCGCGGGCCCTCGGGGCACCGATGAAGGAGCGCAGCAGTGCGGGCCCGCGCACGAGCCTGCTGCTGCACCGCATTCGCTGCTGCTGCTGTGCACCAGCAGCATCGCATGCCGGCTCGTCGCGGCGGAACGCGCGCGCGCCCACACGCCCTGGCTCGCCGCGCCTCGCGCCATACACCTGCGCTGCCATGCGTCAGGACGTGTCCCTTTTTCACCTGTTTCAATGCTTGTGAATATCGCTGCTGCACATGTGAAACCACCGCACCCTGCTGCCTCGCAATGAGATGGAACCTGGTATAAGCAGGGACCCACTTGCACAGTAAAATGCATCGTGCCGCTCGCTCCGTCGGCTTGCCGGACTCGTCTCGCGAACAGCAGACCGCAGATTGCGCAGGACCGACCGCCTCTGCCAGCTTGGTCGCCATCACGGCGCGCCAGCAGCCGCGTCGTATGAGGGGCGCATGGAGCGGGCGCCGCCCGCCTTGCGAGCCCAAACACATTTGAGAAGCTAGCGATGGCGGCTCGAATGTGCCCAGGCCGGAGCCTTCAAGCCAACAGCTTATGACGAGAGCAAAGGTGCCAGTTGGACCCGCCTGCAACTGCGTGCACCCATAGAATGTGCTGCGCACGTGGCAGGGATTGGCACTGGGCGGACGAGCGAGGCTGCGCACTCGTGGGTCCTCAGCGTGGTGACGCCGCCCCACTGAGGGCCCTTCCCTGCCCTAGCCTCGAAGGGATCACCACTTTATGCCCCGCATCGGCCGCAGCCTTGCGCGCTCGGCTCGCATTCCCTTGCCTTAACTGTTCCAGATGCAGCTGACAGCCTGGCCGCCCACACAGTGTGCGCGTTGCTCCCGCTGACTCGTGCGGCGCGCAGTCCGGTGCGCCCACGCGCCGAACCTGCGTCTGCGGCGCGCCCACCCGCCTGCAGCTGACGCGCGCAACGTCGACAGGCGTCCACCCCCTCACCAAAAGGCATAATCAGTTTTACTGGAAAAATTGCGTCAGGCGTCAGGCCAAAAGTGCACAGGGCAACGTGTGGACGCGATTTTTCCTCTGCAAGCCTTGCTGCTGAGAAAAGTGGAGTGTGGCGCGCTGATGGAACAAAGGGCTGTGCATTGGTTGACTATCAGTTGAGGTTGGGGATCAGCGCAAAGATGATACAAAAAACGGCACCAGAGACGGGCGCGATGGGGGAGGGGTTGCTGGTTCGAGGGAAGGGGGTTGGGGGGTGCACAGCCGCGCCGAGGCGCCGTCCGCTTGGCGTAGCTTGGCGGCCGGGCTGGTCCAGATGCAGGCTCAGAGGGTTGGGCAGAAGTGGGAGGGGGGCTGTCATCTATGTCCTGACTGATTGCAGTGATTAACGGATCTGGCTGGGAAAAGGGATCCCGGGCGCGGCAGCAGGGGCGGTGGATGGAAGGGGCCCGCAGGTCGGCGCAGGATGCAAAGGCGCCCAAAACGCGCACATGTGCGCCCAGGAAAACGAGCGCATGCCGCATGCCGCAAACCAACGATCGACACACCGAAATCAGCTCTTGCTGTGGCGCGGGCTGCGCGGGGATCTGTGACGCATTCAAGCGTGTGAGCAGCAAGTGCGCGAGGGCGGCGGCGTCGAGAGTTGCGCGTGCGGCCCGTCGCTCAAAATTCAAGCACACACACGCAGATACGCGGCAGCCGCGCCACCAGTGCGGCGCGGAGGTGCCCAAACACCTTGAAACCACATTGACTCTTCTCTTTCGAGCTAGACGCGGCGCCGCCACGCTAGGCGCGGCGCGGCGCGGCGCGGCGCTGCGCCGCGGGGTCGGCGCGCGCTCACTTGCTGCCGCCGGCCGGCGCGCTCTGAGCGCGCTTGGAAGGCCGCAGGGCAGGCGCAGGCGCGCTCACTTGCTGCCGCCGGCCGGCGCGCTCTGCGCGCGCTTGGGGGGCCGCGGGCCGTGCTGCACCTGGCTCAGCTCGAACATGCGCTCGAGGGCGTCCATGCTGGCGAGGGTGGCGGTGACGGCGTCGGGGTCGGTGCCGTCGCAGCGCAGCGCGGTCATGGGGCCGTGCAGCAGCTTGTTCACGATCGCCTTTGAGAGCTCCTCAATAGCCTGCGAGTCGGAGAACGAGGGTGAGGTAGGTGTGATGCGTTGGTGGGTGCGGCGTTGGGGATGGGGGGGGGGCAGCTGCATGCACGAGCGGCACAAAGAGGAAAGGCCGTGGACAGCAAGCGCGTACGCCAGCCTGCAGCCGCGCGGGTCGGAAAAGCGCACGTCCATCCCCGTTCCAGGTCAGCTGCATCCCCGAGGGCCTCCTCTCAGCTATCTATCGTGCCAGGGCCGCCATAGGCCGGGCCAGACCCTGTTAATCAGGACGTCAACACAAACACACACACACACTCTCTCTCTCTCTCTCTCTCTCTCTCTTGTCCTCTCTCTCTTTCTTTCTCAAAGACAAACACACACACACACACACACACACACACACACACACACGCGCGCGCGCGCGCACCTTGAGCTGCTTCTTGGTGGCGCCCTCCCCGAAGCGGCCCATGGCCTTCTCAAACTCTGCAGCCCTGATGGCCTCGGCCTTGGTGCGCAGCGCCTTGATTGTGGGCACCGTCTCCAGGGAGTCCCGCCACGCCTCAAAGCTGCGCTGCTCCTCCCTTTGGGGGGGGGGCGGTTGACAAGATTGAGTGTGCGTGTATATGTTTTTGGGGGGTGTATGTGTGTGTGTGTGTGAGTGTGTGTGTGTGTGTGTTTGTGCGCGCGTGTGCTTTGGGGGCGGCGTGTGCCCGAGCACACGTGGAAGGAGGACACGCAGCGCCCGAGCAAAGGCGAGCACGAGACGCGGCTGGCACAGCGGGCATGCCGCGCGGCGCCAGCTGCGCCTGCCCGCGCCGGCCGCCGCTGTCGCGCGTGATGAAACATACACCCCGTGCACGCGAGCGCCCGCGCAAAACCCTCCGGTCACCCCATTCTCCGGGCAGCCAGGGCACCCCTGCACCACTACCGCCGTCACCCACACACCTGAGCAGCACCTCAGCCTCCGCCGCCGCCGCCGCGCGCGCCTCCTTGTTGCCCGCCACGACTTCCTTCAGATCGTCCACGTTGTACACCACCGCCGCGCGGCCCTCGGGCGCGTCCCGGAGCTCGTTGATGGATGGCGCGATGTTGCGGGGCACACTGATGTCGACGAAGCGGCGCACGCCGCCGACGGCCGCGGGGGAGGGGGGCATGGACGCCAGGTCGTCCTTGTGAATGAGGACCTCCTCGCTGCCTGTGGAGGGTGGGGTGAGGGTGGGGAGGGGAGGGGTGTGCGGCGATGATGTGAGGGGCAGAGGGGACGCGCGCAAGGGCCTTGGGCGGGCTCTTTTGAGGGCTTTGGGTGAGGTATGGGCGACCGCACGAGATACCTGAAAGCGTCAAGGAGCCGGGCTGGTCGCAGCCCGGCGACCAGCGACCTGTCGCGCTGCAAATTTACCCCTCGCATGCCCCCCTCCCGGCCCACTGGCACGTTATCACCGCGGCCCCCTCTAGCCCCGCAGCCGGGACAAGGCGGGGCCCCTCCGGCCGATACGGCTCCCTCGCGGCGGCGCCTCACCCGACGCAGCGAAGATGACGTCAGACTCCGCGACGCAGTCCAGCAAGTCCGGCATGAGGCGGATTTCAAAGTCCATGCCAGGATACTCCACCGCCAGCGCCTGGGCGCGCGGCAGGCTGCGGTTGACCACGGTCACGCGCTTGCAGCCCTTGGACAGCAGGTGTTTGACCAGCAGCGTCGACATCTTCCCGGCGCCGATGATGCAGACGCGCGCCGCGTCCCAGCAGCCGCCCGGCAGCTTCAGCTGAGCCAGCTCGACGGCCGCGCTGCTGACGGAGACGCTGCCCGTGCTGATGCTCGTCTCTGCGCGCACGCGCTTGCCGGCGGTGATCGCTTGCTTGAACAGGCCCGTCAGCTGGCGCCCGAAGCCGGGGCAGGTTTGACCGACTTTGACCACCTGTTTGACCTGCGCCAGAATCTGGCCCTCCCCCATAACGAGGGAGTCCAGGCCGCCCGCGACGCGCAGCAGGTGGTGCGTAGCGTCGCGGTCGCGCAGCAGGAAGAGGTAGGGGCGCAGCTCCTCGAGCGGCACGCCGCTGCTGCGGGAGAGCCACTCCTCGACCTCGCGCACGCCGCGGTGCCAGTTGACGGCGACCACGTACAGCTCCATCCTGTTGCAAGTGGACAGCACCGCTGCCTCCTCAATGTGGGGGAAGGCGCAGAGCTCGCCGATTGCGCGCGGCCACTCGGCTTCCGGCACGGCGAGCTTCTCGCGGAGCTCGACGGGGGCGTGCTGGATGGTCAGGCCGATGCCGATGATGCTGTGCTTGTGCTCGCCGGCGTAGCCTGGGCGTGGGATGGCGTGGGGTGGGTGCGTGTTCTGCGTCTGCATGTGTACCGTATGCATGGGTGGGGCTGGGGGGTTGACTCGTGTTTGCCTGGCGTTTGGGCACCAGGGGGGTCGCCAAAGGCAGGAGCGGAAGGGAGGCGCGAAAGAGGGAGAGAGGAGCGGCGCGCCGCTGCGCTTGCCCGTCACTCGGTTTGAGGGCAGCCGGCGGGGGCGGGTCGGTGCCCGGGGCCGAAGCACTGTGCGCGGTCAATGTATGCAATCAGCATACGCTACGCACTATGCGGTGCAATCCCGGGGGCCTCGGGAGCTGTGTGGACCTGGCTCGAATACTGCACCCCGACCCGACCCCAGATATGATCCCTGCGGGGGTGCTCACGGTTGACGGCTGTCATTTTCAGCTGCTCCAGCGCCTTGATAGAAGACTCCAGATGCTTGCTTGGCATCTTGCTGGTCACCGATGCCGGGGGCGCCTGCAGCACGGCCTGGGACCGCACCACGCGGGCCCTGCGGCCCACATGACGCCTGGAAAAATCATCTTCGACGCCATTGAATCGGCTGCACTGCCGTGCCGTGCTGCTACGGACCCCCTGCATCTCGGACGGAGCAGAGCGAGCGTGAGCGACGCTCAAATGAACACAAAAAGGAAGATAAATACGAAATGATTGGGATTGTATCCGGGAAACGCGTTGAGGGGCCTTGTATCAGCGGGAGATCGAGCGAAACGGTTGGGTTACTCCGTGACCCTCGAGCTGGCTTCCGGCGACTTGGTCGCAGGAAAAGTGATCGATGCATCAACGTTGCCACATACATGCGGCAGTGGCCCTTGCTGCTGAACGTTTGCCGTGGCGCGTCGCCGTTCGTCACCGCCGGTCAGCCGACAGATAACGCCCACCAATGCGCGGGGCGCCGGCACCTGCATCCCCCCTGGGGGCGCGCGGCTTGGTCGACAGCCACGTATGCATGAAAATGCTTGGAACGCGCTGGGGCGGGCATGTTTCCAGGCCGGGCATGCGATTGGAGGTCCTTTGATTGGAGGACAGCAACCGCAGCCAGGTATATCCCATTGCGGTCCCGTGGTACTTTGACCCGTAAAGTAGCTTACACCCTGCTTACACCTGAAGATCAGGGTCCTGATTTCATGGCATGTGGTTTGATTTGTCACAAAGCATGCTGAGTTACACCGTGGGTACCCCAGCACCAGGGTGTGCTCTGGACCACGCCCCGAAACGCGAGTCGACGGGTGTGCACGCACGCCCTTCGCCAACTCCACAGCGCGGTGAGCGCCCCGCCACGCCTGCGCCGCGACGGCAGCCCAACCAGCGCGCTGGCCGCAAACCCCGCTCGCCCCTGCGCATGCCAGCGGCCGGCATGGGCGTGGGACGAGCGCTGCTGCGCCCGCCCAAACTCGCAACCCCAAAATCGCGACACAAACTCGAAAAAAGACACCCTCAAGCAGTGATCAGCCCTATCTCGGCTTTGAATTCGGCCTCCAACGCCTGGTATTCTGCCTCAGCCCTTTCTAGGTCAGCTACGTCCCACGCCTTGACGCCCCGCCC